TACAAATATCAACCAAAAATCTTCTAAAACTCGGGGGTCGTCTTATACACGGGTCACCTTATAGGACCTACGCGAGTGTATACGGTATTATTACGGAACCCCTGCGGAAGTTCGGGTTCCCGTCACATTTTAAACGGTTGGTTGTAACAATAAACTCGCAAGACTGCTCGCGACTTCTAGATTCTACAATCTGTGGTTGGCTGGGTTGTTTTGGTCGGAAAGGAGAAATTTTCTCTGTGAATTGATTCTCGAACGAGATAAAGAAAGCTCCCTAATGACTCAAGCTACTGTATACCGTTTTTATATTTTTAATATAAGAAGAATAATAATAAGATAATAAGAATAATATTAGAAGAAATTTTCAATTTCTTCTAATTTCAAATACGTTTTCCCCTGATTTTGTGATAATTCGTTATCACGCAAGTGCTAAATGTAAAAATATTTTGTTAAAANNNNGAATATTGAGAACAAACTATGGTCAAGTCATGTTATCGTTTAGGGCCTATTAAGCATTTCATGAATCTATGATATATTATAATATTGACAACGTCAATAGAACATATAGGTGGAATTGTGTCCAACCCATCGTGAAAATGTACTGAATACTCAGTACATGTGAAAACGCTTGCAAAAATAGTACTCGCTGCTTACTTTGGCCTGAATGGCGGGAAATAGGTAGGCCTAATAGGTAAATTGTAATGAATATAATCAATAACTATAGCCTCTAAAAATATTATTGAAGGGTCCTTTTAAAGTTTGAATAGGATTTTTTTAAGTTAAATTTTTAGATCATTATACCTATTGAATGAGCCCACAATAGCCCCGGGCCCCAGTGCTGTCCACTGACTGCACTGCCCATACCTACGCCACTGGACCTGAGTATTATTAGTGGTTACATAACGTTTGCTTATGCACTGTATCATGTGCTATAGAAGTGGAAGACCATAATGTATTGGGAATGTACCTCTCTCTCTGGTAGGGCCTACAGTACAATCTGTTTAAAAGTGTAAGGTATAGGAAAGTGTGGATTTTTAAACATTTTTATAATGGTAATGTTCAAAATAAGTGTCAAGGAAAGTAAGTATGATTGTTGGAAAAAATGGTCAACATTTTATATTGAAGTCTCACCCTGACCTTCGCTTGGGCGAAGTGGGCGAAGTTCTGGATCCGCGTCTCGTTAGCATGAATTTTGTAAGCCAGGACCCATAGTTGAAGATTGTTATTGTTATTGCAATTGTTGTTGGTGTTATTACTATTGTTGTTGCTGTTGCGGTTATTGTTATTTTTAATATTGAAATTATTATTTATCGTTATTTGTTATAATATTAATAATTATTATGATAATAGTATTAAGATTATTTTAAATATTATTTTAACGTTGTCAACAGGTATTCTTACCGAACGACCCTGATTACACCTGGAAATTAGCCAAAATGTGGTTCAGCTTAGCAGCTGTCTCTTATACACATCTAGATGTGTATAAGAGACAGCTATCTGGCAACCCTGTTTCTAGTATCTTTGAAAGGTCATAGTCATTACGTACTCAAATTTCCGCTTAAAAATATATTTTATAAAAATTATATAAAATCAACCACTAGCTCAAATTTAATCAAATCAACTTTATTTTAATATTTGAATGTTGGAGAATTAACTTGTATCATTATCATTTTGATCCAAACGAGATGATTCTTTTTTTACCATACCATACATATAATGGCCTAATGGTTTGTCGACCTCCTCGAGCCTCCTGGATCATGTAATACACTGGAGATGTAATGTTTTTCCATGGTTGAAAATAATACACATAAAAATATGATATTACTCTTGGAATACTGAAATATAAATTGTGTATATTAATAATAATTTTAAAACGAATTTAATCAATAGTAGTATTCATTGTATCTTACTTGTAATATATAATAATAAATACTTTTATTTAGGACTATTAAAAAAAATGGTAATACTGAGAATGGAAGTACTTTTAGTGTCCCATTTTGGATTATTAATTGTTTTGCTTGTTTTTACAGTCAGATCAACAGCTCAGGATATCTCATTCCTCGTAGATCCTTTAAATACTACAATTACTGAAGGAGAAATTGCATCATTCAGTTGTGTGTTGCTCATCAAACATCAGGAGCCAACCGATAACTTTTTCTGGATTAAACATAATATGCCTCTAGGCCTAGGTGGAGATGCAGGTCACTCTCGTTATTCGTTTGAAACAAGAAGAGTAAATATGGAAAATTATCAATTTATTATAAAGATCAATCCTGCAGAAAGATCGGATGAAGCGGATTATATGTGTGTCTATAGGGTTAATGACACCTACAATTTATCATCAAGAAAAGCCTATCTGAATGTTCTCCAAGTACCATCGAATATATATCCTGTTTGCTCTTTGTCAAAACTTTCCTATTACATTGGTGACAAGGTTGAAGCCACTTGTCTTTCTGAAAAGACCTCACCAACACCTGTTTTAAATTTTTTTCCAGTGGTTGATCAGATGTCACATCAGAATTCCACACATATCTGGGAAACAATAGAGTTTTCTGCAATGCCAAAAATAAATAATACAATTTTTGGTTGTATAATGGACCTCGCCATCATAAAAGATATTAAAGATTGCAGTACAGATAAGGTAATCGTTGAAAGAAAATTGCGTGTCGCCATACATGGACACACAATATACAATCGAAATCAAAGGGCGATATTCACTTGTTTTGGAAACTACACAGATACAGCTTATTTTACTTGGAAGCAACGAAAAAAAAACACAAGCCTACTATCCATACCATCTGTGTCGCCTGACATGCATGGTAGTTTGATCTCGTGTGCTGTTCATGATGGAGGCTTCACAGGATCTAACACTATCATTCTTGTCGTGGAAAATCAGGTGACAACAACTGGAACAACAATGAGTCCAACCCCCATTAATCCTACAACATCACCTGTTGCAACAAAGTCAAATAATGATGAATTGGAATTGGAAATATTGGAAGGATTTCTTGGAGTGTATTTTGTTTTAGCAATTCTAATATTCCTTTCCTTCATTGCATGTGCCTATTATACTTATAAGATTTTGAAGATAGTGGCATATATAAAAATTTAAGATATAGCCACATGTAGTATGCATCCCGGTACTGTACAGAGGGGGTCAAGGTAGGAGTGTCTTCGTCACGGCCTTGGATAACGCTAATTCTATCACCACCACACACAAGAAAAGTTAACATCTACTTGTTAATTTCCTTATTTTAATCATGCCATCTGATGGACCTGGCAGAGTGCAATGCTTGTGCTGAAACTGTGTCCAGCTCTGACTGAAACAAAGTATCTAGCAACTGTGTGGACACGATAAGAAGATGCAGAGATTCTAGGTTTCCTGGATGGAAATAGGGAGATTTTGCAACATCGCGAAAATGATAACAAATACAAATACGTCATTATTATCATCATTCAAGCCTGAAACATTCTTGGCAATATGCTGACGGTACGAGCTGAATGTGATCTGTGATTGACTCATGCAAAAGGCATGAATCCCTACATTGTGGCAGATATGCTACTATATGGGAAGGGTTGTTTATAAATTTGACGACGTATCCGTATTTGTTATCATTTTCGTAAGCTTGAGAAAACTACCTAATTGTCACTCCTGAATGTAAATATCAATATCTGTCCTATTAGACTTACAGATACAAATCTTCAGTTACCTTATTTCAAATACCTGTATCTGCTTCTGGGTTGGTACAAATTTTTATGTGTAATTAGTGTGAAATCATATTCTTGTTTTGTCATGACATCATACAGTGCAACATAGGCAGGTAGCTGAGGAAGAATTCAGTGCATTAATACTTCTAATCAAGGAACATCAAACTTAATGAGTTGTAGTACAATAAATAGGACCATGGCTAAAACATGTAGGACATTAGATTATATAATAATAATACAATTAATAATAATAATAATGATAAAAAATTACAATAATAATAATAAACACTTGTATATGTTTGGTTTGAGATGTAACACATTGTTTTAAATTAGTGTCACTTTGCAAGTGACACTGTCAACATGTGATCAACATTTTTGGCAGTCTGATGTAGGGTTTCATTGTATTTATTGAACAGTACTTGGTATCACAATAAAGAATCTCTTATACAAATACATAGACCTACATATAGTTACCAGTATATTGTTCATAGGCCTATGCACTTGCTATACCCATGGAGCTATACAATTTTATAGCTCCATGCTATACCTAAACATTAAACTAATCTCAAGTTACTGTACAGTACCTGCACCAGGTTATGTTTCTTACTCAACAATAATAGATCACTGATATTTTAATGTTTGATTCTTATATTGGTATTCTACATTAATCTACGGTTTACCTGTTACTGACTGTTCACTGTCTTTCTTCTCGTATTACAAAATGGCGTACAGACAATAAGGATGATGCATTATATTGTGGGTGCAGTATTGTCCATCACTTGTACCCTATTGTGTCCATGAAATGAATCATGAAAATACAAATGAATTATTTTTATGATGGGTGCCATGTGAACAAAGCTTACATGAATACTTGCAATGGTATCATAAAATAATATTGAAAAAAAAATGACCCTGTGATAAAAAATGGAATAGACCTTTCTAAAAATATGGCTGTCAAAAAATGATGTGCCCACATTAATTTTCTCAAATGCAAGATATTGTGTAATGTAATCAGTAAATATTATTTTTATCGAATGCTTATCCTGTTCCATTTAGCTTTGTTAGCTCTCAAACACGGACAAAGTTTGACAGAAGCCACAGAAGTACAGTACCATCTCAACATGGATAGACCTACTTCAATTTCCTGTAAATTTGCCATTTGCATTTCATTGCTTTTTGAGATTTTAGGTTAGTTAAAATTTGTTTCTAATGCTATAGACATGTATGAAAAGGTAAAAACTTTATGATTACATGTAGATAACGTTCAGATAATGGAGTCAGCTTAGCAGTGGCAGCTCTAGGATATAATTTATGGGTGGGGGGGCGCTAAGATGTCCGATTGGGGGCTAAGTATTTATGGGTTAACTATAGTGCGCAGCGTTATTTGAGTGCCGAAGGCCCGAGACAGGGGTGGGTATGGGAGGGGTTGTCCCTTCCCCCAAAACAAGATTTTAAAAAAAATTGGGACTTCTAGATGGCCGGAAATAGCTGGGATGGGAAAACTAGACCTATTTTTTTTTTGGTCCGACTGCCCGACGAGCTTTGGCCGATGGGGGCTTGACCAGACCGATAGGGGCTTAAGCCCCGCTGGCGCTGCCACTGCAACTGAGCATGTATAGGTCACAAGAGTTTAATAAACCCATAGAGGTCCTATTATTGACCTATTCATTTATAAATAACATTTGAACATGTCATATGGGCACATCCCATTTTTTTGTCATCATAAAATTTGATAGTGTAGACAGTTCACCAGTTCACAGATTATTATTATTTTTTATTTTTATTTTATTTATTTATTTAGACACACAATACATGTGCCAAGGATTGTCAACAGCGAATATATCACTATCCTACTTGTAGGTGACAATCCCTTACACAAGACAAACATACACACACGATGCTTTACACAAACTAAACCTCCATATGAGATATATTGACTAATAGGCATATACTAACTTTGCACATTATTCTTATCCACATGTTGTTACCATTCAGTGTGTTCAATCATACATACAATATAATAATAAGAATTTCAAGACCATTATTATTAAGGACTATGTAACCAATACTGTATATTATGGGTAAGAAAGACAAGTGTGCCCTGTGTCACTTCAGGTTTCTTACCACTGGAGATAATAATATATTTATTGGAGCTTTTATGCACTTGCTGTCGATCATTATTTTTGATAAACAAAATATTTTTGCTTGGCATGTAAGTCGGATGGTGCAAGGATTTGTCCGACAGAGGGGGTGGGGGAGGACTGACCCCAATAAGAGAATAGTGGGTGTGGTTGGGCGTCACTCAAAATCTTTCATGGCATATTTAATTGATTTTTTTCCTTCCTGACATGGTTACTGAAATGCATTTTCCTAACTTGAGAAGTCTAAATATGTTTAATCAGTTTTGTAATTGAGCACATAAATTCATTTGTAAAATTGTTTGTCAAAGTATTGAGGTCCAATGGTTCAAGCTGCCCCAGACCTAGAGAAGGTTAAAATCAGGCTCCAGAGGAAAAACAAATTTTGATATGTTGTAAAACTGATTTTTCTAAGACAGTGGCGTAACCACACCTTTTCCCCAGTTTTTAAGTATCTCATTAACCACTCCTCGATTTTTCGTTAAACAACTTTTTTGTGTCTTACAAAAATCAGTTCTATAAACAATTTTTAATGTGTCAAGCTACCTTAGCCTGGGGTAGTCTGAACCACCTATTGATTTTATTTAGGGTGGCTCATTGTGAATGGGTGTTCACAGTGCCCTGGCCTCCCTAACATTTAACCACAAGTTAAAGCCAACAAGGCATTAAGTTATTTTTTAATTAATTTTTAATTTAAAATAGGGGGATGGGCGACCACAACGATGGTGACGGCACTCGATTTTGGAGCGCGGTATTCGAAAACGAGGCTCGTGAACTGGGTCCCAAAAAAAAACTGGTGCTACAGGATTTTGAGCTAGTGTCATAAGATAGGGAATTTCATAAAATGTACTGACTTTCAAAGGCTTGCATTCTGTAACCCCATAAAAAATCGTGTCAAACTTTAGATATTCCAATGTAAATTTGGCCGTTCTTTCCATTTATATGGGTTTTCACTTATGAAAATGTCTCAATTATGTGTAAAATAACGATTTGCCCCAGTTTTTATTTCGGAAATTTGCACTAGACAGGGAGTCACCTGATTCACTCAACCGTAACGAGCTGGTAACGACATTAGCCAACTGATGAGAATGGTCGTCGCGAGCGGAAAATTTAAAAATTAGGACTGGCGAAAATATTCAATAATAATAGTAAAACTAGATTTGAACTCGTCACTGAGGACGAGTTCGGTGATCCGCCGTACTTTGACCCTCATAAAGCTCATACGGTGCTGATTGAAAAGTGTCATAATATGCTAAAATATGCTGTAATTAGTTTTTAAAAAAAGAATAATTTTAAGCATTTTAAAAGATTTCCGCATGAGTACACGTACGTCTTGACGCCCGTAAGCACGGAAATAGCACAAAGAGTGACTCCTGATATGAATAATGTGTCAGGAACACAAAGTATGTAAGAAAACGTCATTTCCAGCATCATTACGTGTTGCGTGCTTGGAAATGAACGTATGGCGCGTAAATATGGAAAGTTTTGGAATGCTGAAAATGACCCGAAACGTTCTTTAAGCTATCTGAATACTGATATGGAAAATTTTCAAATTTCAACAGACGCGCATGTCACGATGTGTGCGTGTACAGTAATGGCACACGAAATTAAACATTGTCAAGTGTTTTTAAAACCGCCTGTTAGTTGGTAATGTTACACGAATTTTCCATTCATATAACCTATATATATCAGTGTGATAGCGTCGAAATACAGTCTGCCGCCCTTTCTCTGTTCTATTTCTTTACATCTTTTAAGAATGAGAGATAAAAGGGCTCCAAAAATTAATTCTTTCTGACCATGCTGACGTGATGAAAATGAAAAATATAGGGACACGTCTGAAAGAGAATTGATTTAGCTATAATATACTCACAGGTGGGAGATAATCAATCAAGATAAGCGAGATACGTTCAAACGAGTATAAAGAGTAATAACGTCATAAATAATAATTGAGTTTTTTCTTAATTTAAATGGCAATATGATGATGTCACAATGTCCGATCAGCCATTATGATCTATAAAATCGTATCTACAACTCATGTGCTCTAAAAATATGTAATAAAAATTGACGGTCACCTTTCATCCTAAGGAGCTATATTTGATTATAAATAGCATGGCATAATTATAAGCATATGTAATTTTTAACGCAAGCGTAAGCGCACGTTAAGACGCGCAAACAAAAAAGTAAGATACCTAACATTCAAACTTGACCTGAAGTATAAGAACATTTAATATTCTTCAGAAATGACGGATTGTTAAGATATGACGTCATCAACGTTTTGAGAAAACAAATATATATTTTTTTAAAATTCAAATGGCAATATGATGACGTCACAATGTCCGATCAGCCATTATGATCTGTAAAATCGTATCTACAACTCATGTGCTCTCAGAATATGTAATAAAAATTGGGGGTCACCTTTCATCCTAAGGAGCTATAACTGAATA